TGACATCCCAGTAACCCTCTTTCCCACCTCACCCCAATTACCAGTCTTCCTCCTAGCAAAACCTAATATTTTAAGAATATCATGACACAAAAAGGAGAAACTTAGAGGCCTGTGCCCTGCACTGAGTAAACAGGTTACTGATAAAGTTTTCTTCTCTATTGGGATATCCTCGGGTGTTAGAAAAATCAGGTTTGGGACTCACTGAGAAATTACAACGTTATGATCAGGAAGACAGAACATGTGTAACAGATGAGGCACAATCTATTCAGACAAATACAGAGCCTACATGGGAAGTTCAAACCCAGACTGTGCCATTTAATAGATACGTGTTCAATATGAATAAAGGCAATAGCCGTGTTTAAAATTTATCAGGCCCCTTTCAGTGAGCTCACCATGGACCAAGATACCTTGCTTTGTAATCTCAAATATTCCTATCTCCATCCAAGACTCATGCAGTCATCTGCCCTAACCCTCGCCTCCACCCGAGCGCAGGTGCGCCTGGTTATGAAGCTGTCAGGGTCACTGGATGGGGGCTAGAGGTCTGAAGTTGCAAACTGTTCAGAATACAGTATGGTTTAATAAGGTGAAGTTATCATTTGAGGACCTTAGTCTACTGCACATAACCACGTTAAACACATCCAATTTTTCTTTATTAATTTTTAAATATTTTTTTTATTGATTTCAGAGAGGAAGGGAGAGGGAGAGAGACAGAACATCAATGATGGGAATCATTCATTGGCTGCCTCCTGCATGCCTCCAACTGGGGATCAAGCCCACAACCCCAGCATGTGCCCTGACCCGGGAATTTAACTGTGACTTCCTGTTTCATAGGGCAAGCACTGAGCTACACCAGCCGGGCTAGAATCCAATTTTCCACACTTGAATACTCGAAAAGTATGCAAAATCGAGCCAAAGAAAGTTCTGATAGGAAAGTTCTGCTGAAAACATGCTCAGCTTTCCCATTGGGAAAGGTTAAAGAAGTGAACTGTCATGCAGGAATCCTTCTGATACAAAGACTTAGCTGGCTCAAGGGTTTTACCTTTAACTGGAGTGACAGCCCATCCCTTGGCACAGCCTGTGGACAAAAAAGGGCTAATGCCCCTGGAAGCAGCATTCAACTAAGGCAGTGGTTCTCAACCTTCCTAATGCTGCTACCCTTTAATACAGTTCCTCATGTTGTGGTGACCCCCAACCATAAAATTATTTTCGTTGCTACTTCATAACTGTAATTTTGCTACTGTTATGAATCGTCATGTAAATATCTGATATGCAGGATGTATTTTCATTGTTACAAATTGAACATAATTAAAGCATAGTGATTAATCACAAAAACAATATGTAATTATATATGTGTTTTCCGATGGTCTTAGGCGACCCCTGTGAAAGGGTCGTTCGACCCCCAAAGGGGTCGAGATCCACAGGTTGAGAACCGCTGAACTAAGGGGGCCAAAGATTCCTGGTATGACACCCTTGGAGGTGTCAGAGTATACTCTGCACACCCACTATTTCCTTGCAAGACTGATCCCCAGTTACTCATGGCAGTGCCTGCTCATTGCATACCTGCACCTGACTGGCCTCCTCCATCTGGTGCTTTGAGGGTCAGCCTCAAAGAAATCTAATCTAAGACAGTCAACAAGAGCTTCTGTAACCCTTTCAGACACAGTCTTGGTTTATTTTTAAAATTTGTATCATAGCCCTAGCTGGTTTGGCTCAGTGGATAGAGCGTCAGCCTGTGGACTGAAGGGTCCTGGGTTCGATTCCGGCCAAGGGCACATGCCCAGGTTGGGGGCTTGATCCCCAGTAGGGGGTGTGGAGGCAGCTGATCCATGAATCTCTCTCATTGTTGATGTTTCTATCTCTCTCTCTCCCTCCCCCTTCCTCTCTGAAATCAATAAAAGTTTAAATATATTTTTATTGATTAAATATATTTGTATTGTATAATGTTACACTGCTTCATCACAGAACTCATCATCATCCATTCTATCAACTTTCCAAAATCATGGCCTGCACATAAATCAGGCATGTGTTTAGCATAGAGGCTAACTCAAAGGTTCCTGTAATATGAGAAAACACTAACTTCAGTGAAAGACAACTGGAAGTATATTATCATAATCATAAATGTTTTGTTTGAAAGTAGCTGAGAGTCAACCTTAAAAGTTCTCATCACAAGAGAAAAGATTCTATAACTGTGTTGATGTTGACTTACTGTGCCAATCATTTTGCAATATATACAAATATTGAATCATTACATTGTACACCTAAGACTGATGTAGGTCAATTGCACCTCAAAAAAAATAAAATTCTTAAAAAACAAAAAACCACATTTATTTATGAGTCTAGATCAGAGTGAAGAATAATTTGTATTGATTTAAGAACTACAAGTTATTATTTTTCTTATTGATTTTCTGAGGCTCTAATTGTGTATGTTTATTTAGGGAACATGTGTTTATCTCAATGAGGAGATAAACACATGCCTAACTTAGACAAAAAGAGTTCCAGAATTAGGAGATAAACACATGCCTAACTTAGAGTTCCAGAAGTTATAATCAGGCCAGGATATACTGCCTCTGCTGGGCAGAGGGCAGAGGGTCAGGGTTTCATTCCCAGCATCAAGCACACAGGTTGCCTGGTTTGGTTTGACTGCTCTAGGGACCATGTACTGTTGAAGCCTCTTCACCTTTAGGATCCTCTTTTTAATGAGAGAATCATTGAACCACTAGCCCAGCCGTGGGCAAACTACGGCCCTCGGGCCGGATCCGGCCCGTTTGAAATGAATAAAACTAAAAAAAAAAAAGACCGTACCCTTTTATGTAATGATGTTTACTTTGAATTTATATTAGTTCACACAAACACTCCATCCATGCTTTTGTTCCGGCCCTCCGGTCCAGTTTAAGAACCCATTGTGGCCCTCGAGTCAAAAAGTTTGCCCACCCCTGCACTAGCCCCTACATACCCCTCACCCAAGATTGAGCCAGAAACCCGGGCATGTGTCCTGACTGGGAATTGAACCAGGACCACCTGGTTCATAGGTCAACACTCAACCACTGAGCAACAAGGGCTGGGCTAGGACCCTCTTTAAAGGAGGTGTGAGCCCTGGCCGGTGCTCTCAGTGGTTAGAGTGTCATCCCACACAATGAAGGGTCTCAGGTTTGATTCCCAGTCAAGGGTACGTACCTGGGTTGCAGGTTTGAACCCCAGCCCTGGTTGGGACTCATTTGGAAGGTAACCAATTGATGTTTTTCTCTCTCTCCCTAACCCTCTTGCCCCACTTCCACTCTCTCTCAAAATCAATGGAAAAAAATATCCTGGGGTGAGAATTAACAAAAAAGAAATAAAATAAAAGGCGGTATGAACATCATCCGAGTGAGATAGCAGAGGTTTAATTCTTGGCACACTTCTCAATTGCCATTTCTCATGATAGGGAGGTAACATAATTTGACCAGAGGACCAGTCTTCGAACAACTATTTTTTTTATATATATATTTTATTGATTTTTTACAGAGAGGAAGGGAGAGAGATAGAGAGTTAGAAACATCGATGAGAGAGAAACATCGACCAGCTTCCTCCTGCACATCTCCCACTGGAGATGTGCCCGCAACCCAGGTACATGCCCTTGACCGGAATCGAACCTGGGACCCTTCAGTCCGCAGGCCGATGCTCTATCCACTGAGCCAAACCGGTTTTGGCTCTTCGAACAACTATTAATCATAGCACAAAGCACCCTCTGCCCTCTGGCCAAGGGGCCATGAACCCATTCATATCAGCAAGTGCTGGGAAGCCAGCTGCACCTGCCCCCTCCTAAAGCAAGGCAGCCCATTCATGCCATTTATATCCTATTTCTCACTAAGCATCTTCTTTGCTCAGCAAATGACTTTCCGAAGGATATACAGGCATAGGCCATTTTAATGGATAAAATACAAGGGATGAGCTTGTCCATATCCACCTTATAGGTAACAAAGAATACTGCCTTCAGGCAAAGATACCAGACTAATGCAGATCTTTGGAAATGAATTTGGGAAACGGGCAAAGGCAAGTGTCGCCCTAGCTGGTTTGACTCAGTGGATAGAGTGTTGGCCTGTGGACTGAAGGGTCCTGGGTTTGATTTTGGTCAAGGGCACATGCCTGGGTTGTGGGCTCGGTCCCCAGTGGGGGGCGTGCAAGAGGTAGCCAATCAATGATTCTCTCATCATTGATGTTTCTATCTTTCCCTTCTCTGAAATCAATAAAAAAATATGTATATTTAAAAAAACAAAAGTTAAAAAAAAAAAAAGCTTGTGTTCCCCCTCATTTGTAATCACACCTATATTTGCCCACCTATAGCTCAGCGGGCATTTCCTCGGCGCAGTGTGGAAACAGCAACAGAACAACCATCTGTCAGGAAGTACCCATAATTGGGGAAGTGATAAGAGTAGCAAGTAGGAGCGCCTGAGTGCATGTTGCACACCTCCAGGGAGACGGGAGCTGAGTGCCCTTGTCTGTCTTGCAGTGGTGAGGTGTCCTTGGCCCCTTATCCCAGATTCCTACAAAAGGGGCTCTTCAATTGCTGAAATCATAACTTGTAAACACACACTATCCTGTGTTCCAGGACAAACCCAACAGCCCCTCTGGGTTAGAGCTGACCACATGGTACAAAGTTGGGTTCTCTATCATGAAGTATCAACAGTCCTCAGGTATCCCCCACCAGACCAGTGAGGAGAGGTCCTTGTATGCATCAGTCAGCAAGGCAGTAGGTGGCAGTGTTTTAATCCTTTAGAGCCTGGTGCCTGTCCCCTATTCTGTACTCCCATTGAGTGCGGATGAGGACATTGGCTCAGAGTGTCCTTTCATCGCGGATCCTGTTAGCATGCTGACAAAGTCGCAGGAGCTGGAAGAGCCCCTGCACAAGCCCAGCATGAGCCTGACTGCCGGGTCATAAACCTGGGAGCTCCTCCATATGCACCTGTAACAAGCACTGACAATCCTCCCCAGGGGAAAAAAAAATCTACAAAAACAAAACGAAATCACCTCTGCAGTCTTTATTAATCACAGGTACAGAATCCAACAGATCTCATAAGGCCTTCAGCAGGGACCAGGATGGACGATGAGGTTCAACTCTCCAGTGAAAAGGAACTTGGGGGACAGCTAAGTAAAGAACCCTCCCTGGGTCCCCACGGGCACCATTAATGAGGTCCAGCTATTTGGGCTAAGACTGCTCCTCCCCTCGAAGTGGCGGCTGCTGAGGCGCCTCCTCCTCCCCAGTGTCTTGCTTCTCCCTCTCGGCGTCTCTCCAGCTCAAAGGCGCAATCATCTTCTTGGGCCCGTGAGGCGGGGGGCCGATGAGGGCCTCGATGTCCTCGTAGTTTATCACTTCCTTTTCCAGCAGGGCATTTGCCAGCTAAGAGAAACAAAGGATAGTGTGTTAACCTTGGAGGACAAGGACACAGACAAGAGCCTTTTGAGAGCAGAGCACTGAGAGGGGGCCTCTCACCCTCCCAGAAAGGGGTGTCTGTGAATAGGGTGCCCCCAGATAGGCCACTTTCCCAGGGAAGCAGCACACACAGGCAGCTTAAGCAAAGAATCACTCCCTGTTTCAATCTTGGAGATGATTTGCCAGCTGCAGCCTCATTAATTGTCTGCTTCCCTTCCAAATCTATGCTTATTTTGGGCAACCTTCGATTTCCTTTACCAAACAAGGTGTGGGTGTCTGTATGGGGGGAGGGGACTAAAATGCAGAACATCCTCGCTGGAACTTGAGAGGAATGCTGGCACTGAGGTATAAGTTGGGGGACTTCACAATTTGGGAAGGGGTGCCTCTGCCTCTCTAGATATGATCATGGAAAACATGCTGAACGAATCCTGAGGGTTCTGTGCCAGCACTCAATTACTGCTGCTCAGTCCCACTACAAGGAATGCTGCCACAGCCACCTGGACTGGCTTCTGTCATCCCCAAACTGGGTGACCACTTAATCTGTGTGGCTGCTCTAATATATTGCTAAGTTCTGCACCCCACCAATCATGTGAGTCCATCATGATCACAGCGCAAACCGAGGCAGGACATCCTCGGCCCATCACAGGGAGCCTGGGTCCTGCCCAGTGGCAGTGACAATGCACATGTGTGACACCAAGGACATTGTTAACAAGTATATAGCTCGGCCCTAGCCGGGTTGCTTGGTGGATAGAGCATTGGCCTGCAGACTGAAGGGTCACAGGTTCGATTCCGGTCAAGGGCACATGCCCAGGTTGCAGGCTCAATCCCCAGTAGGGGGCTTGCAGGAGACAGCCAATCAATGATTCTCTCTCTCATCATTGATGCTTCTCTCTCTCTCTCCCTTCCTCTCTGGAATCAATAAAAATATATTTAAAAAAAAACAACAACAAGTTTATGGCTCAGCAGATTGGGTAGGCCTGGCATTCTACAATACCACAACTCTGGGGGAAGCTGGTGCTGCTAGTAAGTGGCAACACTTGGAAAACCCAATAGGCACAACTGCCAAGCTGGCGGTGCCTCACATTAACGAAACAGCCTATCCACCAAGAGCTGCCCACAAGTATAGGGACACAGTAACTTCACCTCTGAAGTCAAGCGATGGCCCCAAACCCAACACCTAGTCTCATTGTGAGAACATCAGACCCATTTCCTAACACTGCCATGGCAGGCCATCAACAACAGAAAAGTGCGGAACTGTCCCAGCCAAGAGGAGCCCAAGGAGGCATGATGATTAAATGTAAATGTGGGGGTAGAGGAGGGTGCCCCTGCAGGAAAAGGACATTAGGGAAAGGCTAAGGAAATCTAGTTAATATATCAATACTGGCTCACTAGGTTCTGAAAAGTGCAACATATTAATGGAAGATGTGAATAACAGGAAAAACTGGGTGTGGGGTATAAGAAAACTCTACTACATTTGTGACTTTTCTGTAAATCTAATAAAACTATCCTAAACTTTACATTTTATTTTTAAAATTTCAGGAAAAGTTTGAGTTGGAAAAAGATTAAACAAAATTGACCAAACATTAATAATTGCTGACGCTGGGTAATGGACACATGACAGTTTATTATGTTCTTCTGTCTATTTTGAAAGAACTGGTTTGGCATGTTCATAATAAAATGCTAAAAAGTGGAAAATATTATATTTCAGCTGAGCTGGGTGGAACACATATTTGGTATGTTGTTTTCTAAATTTCTGTGTTCATTTGAGCCCTGGCCAGGTAGCTCAGTTGGATAGAGTATCATCCTGATACGCCAATGTTGTGGGTTAAATACCTGGTCAGGGCACATATAAGAATCAACCAATGAATGCATAAATAAATGGAACAACAAATCGATGTTTCTGTCTCTCTCTTCCCACACCTGTCTCTCTCTTAAAAAAAAAAAAAAAAAGTTCTGTGTTCATTTGAAATCTCTATATATAAAAGGCTAATATGCTAAGTGTCCAACTGTCTGGATAATGATGTCATGTAGCATCACCCGGCTTTCACTTCCTAGCGACTAGCCTCCTTGCAGTTTCTTCAGCCCAGGAACACGACTTGCTTTATAGCCAGGTGGAAACATTTCACACTGTAACCAAATGTCTGTGAAGCGTTTTCACGTGCCTCATCTCATTTGATCCTCACAGAAGTTCCGGAGTAGATAAGACAGGAGACTCGGTGGAATCCTATTTTCTTTTCATTAGCCAGAAAACGGAGATTTAGAAAGCTTAGAAACTTGACCCGAATGAAAAGAAGAAATGGTGGACTTTGAAAATGACTTCAGGTTTTCTCACTGTGCAGAATATAGTCAAACACTGCTGCAGTTAAATATTTTACCCTTTGTTCTCCCTGTGTGATCTACAATAATAATCTGCTTCATGTTGATATTTACTGCTGTGTTGCTGACAATTACCTGAAAGAAAAGTTGCTTCACTGGGCTGGGAAAAGTTTAGCTACATCAGAAAGCAGGCCTAATTAAGCAAGTTTATTCTGTATCTATAAATGGCTAAGTTGATTCATTTGGTTGACACTTCTATTATAGAGAAAGGGTGAATAGCGATATTAAAATATTTCTTCTAATTAATTTCCTTTCAATGTGCACGAATTCATGTATTGGGCCACTAGTATTCCATAAAAGAATGACCAGCTATGCCAGCACAGCGCAGTAACAGCACCCACACACACAACTTCTGAAGAGACAGACAGGTGCCTGGAGGTTAGAATGCACCAAGTCTCACCGCCTGGAGCTTGTCCAGATTGTCCTGCAGCACCTTCTCAGTGTGCCTGTAGGCCTTAGCCACCAACAGTTGAGCTTCCTGTGAATGAGAGAGGAGATCTGTAATGAGAAGAGCTGACCACTATTCTCAGCATCATCTATAGCATTGGTTCTCAACCTTGGCTGCACATTAGAATCACCTGGGAATCTTTTTAAAATCCTGATTTCTGGGCCTTGTCCTCCGGAAATTCTGTTTCTTTGTTATGGGTGGGGCCACAACATTAGTAACAAAGAAACAGAATTTCCGAAGGATGAGGCCCAGAAATCAGGATTTTAAAAAGATTCCCAGGTGATTCTAATGTGCAGCCAAGGTTGAGAACCACTGATCTATAGGCTGGTTCTGACACCAAAGTACACCACAGAACTGCAGGTTCAGAAACACAGCCTTTTGTCTATCGCAATGACCAGGAGAGGTCAGCTGCCAACAGTTTCTGGCCCCCATCCCAACCTTGGGAATGTCCTAGTTCAGGATGCCTGCCCACAGCAGCCATTCCCACCTGTAGATGCCCCCCCGCCCCTCCCTAGAGGCCAAGGACCCTGTGTCTGTCCTCCATGCCCGCAGCTGCCTCAAATGCTCATGCACCAGGCCAATTAGAGCTGCCCCAGGACAGGCTGGACACTGTCCTGGCCCAATCTCCTTTGGACAATGCAGCATGTCCCTGCTGGCCACAGGGATCATTGGCACTGGCTCTGTCATTTGATGCATTTATTTGATATTCTTCCCAGTTTCCCATCATCTACAGTTTCATCAGGAGCCACACAGGGGTCCTCATCCAAGAACACACACTACTAGGCAGTTCAGAGAAACAACAGAGGTCAGGAGGAAAGGCCCCAATGTGAAGGCTCAGGGACAGGGCACAGTGGGAGGCCTCCTCTGCATACAAAGACTTGCCCTCTACCACACTGTGGGGCTGAATGGAGCACAGGTGCAGCAGCAAGGCCTGTGGACTCACGTGATCCATCATCTGTTGGAGGCCCTGGCTGAAGGGGCGCCGACCAATGCCTGCAAGGCCCTCCTGAGCCTCAGGGAAGGAGATGGGCCCAATGCTCGGTGCCATCCCAAACTGCTTCACCATGGAGTAGGCAATACGAGTAACCTTCCTCAGGTCGTCCTGCGCTCCTGGAGAATAGGGCCAAGAAAAGGTTTCTTTCCTGGGAGTGCAGAGTCAGGGCATCCTGGGGACCCCACTGGCAAACACCTCGGCCAGACAGCAGATGCAGAGTCTCCAAGGGACAACTGTATCCTGTTACTATTCCTTAAGAGAGAGACCGGAAACTTTAAAAAATGCTCTTTTGTCCAAAAAATTATTCAGATCCTGGCCAGGTGGCTCAGTTGGTTAGAGTATCATCCCGATATGCCAAGGTTGCGGGATTAATCCCCAGTTGGGGAACATAAAAAATCAACCAATGAATGAAATGCAATGTATAGATTGTGCCCCGCAGCTGCCGAACCGCCCGTGCCCGTCAATCCGCCCGCCAGCCACCCGTTCGGAGCGTTAGCCTATAAGAGGCTGGCGGTGGGGCGGTGGGTGCGGAGGTGGGTGCAGACCCTGCGGCCGTTCCTCCCCCCCCCCTCCACCCCCGTCCCCCTCTCCCGGACCCCGCACTCCTTTCCCCATTCGGGCTCCGTCACCCTCCCGCCCCTCACACTCGGGAGTAGAATGCCCTGCCCAGAACAACCCAGCAGCACCTAGATGGCTTTGGTCACGGTCCAGCGATCGCATACCCCCAGCACCACCTCCAGCCCCTGCGCCTCGGACTGAAGAATCAAAATGAGTGTGGCACCAAAGACTAAACAAAGAGGGAGTTTTCAAGAAGGAAGTTGGATCAAGTTGTCTTGGAGAGGTCAACAGAGAGTGAGAGGAAGGGAGAGGCAGAGAGAGAAACATTGATGTGAGAGCGAAACATCTATCAGCAGCCACCTGCACATCCCCTACTTTGGCCCCGCAACCCTGGCATGTGCCCTGACCGAACCTGCAAACTTTTGGTGCATGGGACGATGCCCCAACCCACTGAGCACCACCGGCCAGGGCTCAAAGTGCAAACGTTTTTAATTTTGTTGAAATCCATTTTATAAATTTTTTCTCTTATGGTTAAAAAAAAAAAAGAAATGCAATGTATAAATAAGTAGAACAACAAATTAATGTCTCTCTCTCTGCCCGTCCCCCCCAAAAAAAAATAAAGTAAAAAACTACGTGGGTTGCATATTTGCATTTGCTTCACCAGCAATTCTTGTGCACAAGTTCAGGTGTACCCAGGGCACACTTGTCAACACTGAACCCCAATGCTGGGGATCAAGCAGGGGAAGTCTGCTGCCTGCTCTCTAGCCACCCCAGTGAAATAACAGCTTGAGAACAGTAAAGTTGCTTGAATTACCAATAATTAGCCAATTAAATGCATTTATAGTCTACATGTATGTAAAAGCTTTTGTAACAAATTATTTTAAAAGTCTTGCTTAGTTTCAAATCTCCTTTCACCATAGCTCATCTTTAAAAAACACTTAATGAACCCAGCCGGCGTGGCTCATTGGTTGAGTGTCAACCTATGAACCAAGGGGTCATGGTTCGATTCCCAGTCAGGGCACATGCCTAGGTTGTGGGCTCAATCCCCAGTGTGGGGTGTGCAGGATGCAGCCGATCAATGGTTCTCTCTCATCATTGATGTTTTTCTCTCTCCCTTCCTCTCTGAAATAAAAAAAAAAATATTTTTAAAAAATTGTTTTAAACAAAAACACACTTAATGAGATTTAAAGGATAGTTGCAACCTACTATTCAAATCCTTTCATCACATATACTTCCCCTATCCGCCCCCCATGCAGAGGGATAATGGGTGTAAAAGCACTGTAAGAACTCCAGACCCTGCAGGGCCAACTCCTCACCAGTAGTGACCTTATTGAAGGAGATGGCCTCCGACACGCGACCACCGAGGGCCATGCACATCCTCTCAAACAGCTGCTCCTTGGTGAAGAGGTGCTGATCTCTTGGGAGCATCTGAGCAAAGCCCAGTGCAGCGTTTGTCCGAGGTGCAATGGAGACCTGCAGAACGTCAGGTGGCCTGAGTTAGCAGGCAGGATGTGGGCTTTAAATATGAAGGTGAGAAATACGAGATCTTTAATCAGAGGGTTTCAAAGCTGTTAAGCAAATCTGCACTATCCCCATTTTTATAAAAAGCTAGTATCATTAAAGAGAATGACTCACACATTGTGGGTGTGTCTCCTTGTACATTACTAGGTATATATGAAGTAAAGGACCGCCAAGACAGGAGCTCTTAGGTGAAGCAACCAGGAAGTGCAGGGACCAAGGCCACCAAGGAACCCCCCACCCCCACCCCTGCACCATGGCCCTCTGACCATGAGGTTATGTGGGGGACAAGGAAAGTAACCTTGCCTTAGCCTCCTCACTGGCCAACACCAGGTGTGTGTACAGCTCCAGCAGGACAAGGCCTGCTCCTGAGCAACAAGGAGAGACTTGGGTTGCAGGTGTCATTTCTGAGGGTTACGGCAGCAAGAAAACCACCTCACAGTAGCCGGAAAATTGAAAGGGGAAACTTAAAATCCAACACTAAATTAAACTACAATTAAAAAGGCTGGAAATTACAACCAAACAGCAATGAGAACTTATCTTTCCCTAGCGAAGTATGAGCTCTCGAGGGAGTTTTTCTCATTATGACTAGTTTATGTCTTTCAGCAATCTACTAAAGCAAAGATTCTGAGAAGAGTTCATTTTAGTGATATTTGCATCATTGTGAATCTTTCTGCATTAATATTTATTTTGTTGATATATATATATATATTTTTAAGTTTTTATAAGAATTTATTTGAGCCAAAATGACAACAATGCTGGGAAGCAAGATCTCAAATGCTCCCTATTTTGTTGATATTGCATTAAAATATTTATGAGATAAAACATCAAAGGTGAGAGAGAATCACTGATTGGCTGCCTCCTGCATGCCCCACACTGGGGATTGAGCCTGCAACCCTAGCATGTGCCCTGACCGGAAGTCGAACCATGACCTCCTGGTTCATGTCGATGCTCAACCACTGAGCCACGCTGGCCAGGCTTAAAATATTTAACTTGATTACTGAATATTTTAGTGTCCCATAAATATCACACTATAGGTAACTGTCCCACCTGCCTCACCCTGGACCCAGCCCCAATCACCTACTTCAGTGACTGCTGCATCCACTTATCTCTGTCACAAAACACTAGAGTCTAGTGACTAGACTCAGCCCTCCAATGAGCATATAAAAGGAACTGGCCTGGTCAGAAGGACATAATCAAACATTCCCAGACTAACAATCTACTTTGTGGCCCCAGCTGGGTACCTCAGCTGCTTAGAGCATCGTCCCAATAGTTCAAGATTGCAGGTTCGATCCCCAGTCAGGGCACATACAAGAAGCAATCAACAAGCCTGCCAGGCATGGCTCAGGGATTGACCGTTGACCTATGAACCAGGAGGTCACGGTTCGATTCCTGGTCAGGGCACATGCCCAGGTTGTGGGCTCGATCCCCAGCGTGGGGTATGCAGGAGGTAGCTAATCAATGATTCTCTCTTATCACTGATGTTTCTATTTCTCTCTCTCTTCCTCTCTGAAATCAATTTTTAAAAAAGCAACCAATGAATGCATAAATAAGTGGAACAACAAATCAATGTTTCTCTCTCAAATCAATAAAAAATAATAAAACAAAAAAACAATCTACACTGCTACAATTAACATCACTGATTGTCTAACATTAATCACTCACATACCAGGCTGGCAATTGCTACATTGTTCCCGTGTTTGGGTCTTAGGGAACTGCAATGTAGCTCTTTCCTTGCTGGTGGAACCAAACCAGCTGTGCACGCTCCCAGTGACTCCACTTGCTTTGGTGGAGGGTACAATTACAATCCATGCCCTCATCTTTACAGACTGGGCACCTGCATCCCAAACACTTACATTTTCCTTAATGGTCATTCAAGGATCTCATGGTCACAAATCGACATATTTTG